AAAAAAAATCAAAAAAAAACTGAAAAATTCGTACCTCCGTGCTAGATTTGTGGCCTCTTTTTGGAGATCGAGACGGCAACCACGAAAACGCGTTTGAGGCTTTCTCAGATGAGGCTAAAAGTTGGAAATCTTGAAAAAAAAGGTTCCATTTCTCAAAGGAACTACAAAAATACATGCCGTAATAAATAAATTGCACATTGTTCATACTCGTGTTAGCTCCAACAAATCTTTGCGAGTATGCAAAAGAAGGGGATGAAAAATCAGCTGTGATTAGTAGATTTGACGATCGATGTAGTGTTTTTGCGATGGCAACAATACATGCGCGTAAACAATAATTAAGGGCTGCATGGCCGTCTTTTAGGCGCAAGTCACACGCAAATTGCGGCATTAACGAGCATTACATTCGTTTCCGCGCAAGTGTTGTCATCACCGTAGGGGCACTATATTGAGTGTCACTTCAACAGACTTTATGTGTAGATGTCTTTAATATCCTATATTTTTCGAAATAGCATACAAGATGTGCTAATTTTTCCGATAAAGTATCGGTAGAAAATTTCGAATAATTGGTAGAGAAGGAAAATTGTACTGCAAAAATTCGACGGTAATCAACAGTTGATTATTTAGCAAGATATCAAGGTTTGTTGATTATTAGAAGAATGATTCTTTATGCTAAGAAGTCACGTAAATATTTCTGATATCAATCATTGTTTTCACTTGGAGTGATATTCCACTGGAAAATCATATGTTTGCAAAAATTGATATTTGTCACGAAAATGTAGCGCACGGCAAGCAAAGAATCTCGTGTTTATGGTCATGCAAGCAAATGAATGGCAACGATGAGAATTCAAAACATGCGATTGAATTTGCTGAGACTGAAAGAGTGCCTCTTACCAAGATAAGCAGTCCTCCTGGGTTTTCGCTCAATCTGCGGACTTTGAGGAAGCGATCTCGAAGCTATATGTGTCACAGGTGGAGGCGAAATCAGCTTCACCTCGGCCGGCTCTTTCTCGGCGGGTTTTTTGAAGCGAAATGACGTGGCCACTTTGCGCACAAATTGAAATTTCTTCTTCTTCTCGTCCATCAGATCATTGATCGACTCGACACTGATCGACTGACGAAGGCCTTGCTGCTTCTGGGCGCCGACACCTCCGGCGGCGTAGATCTGCTTCGCTCGGATTACCGAATCGCGATTGATCACATCCATCGTGATCGATCTGGCTGGCATTTGGTTCGTCTTCGGAAGCACATCCGCGATAAG